TCAAGTTACTTACAAGTCGGTTTAGGACCAAAGCTGATCCTGGGTCCCTACCCTTCCCTGTAGCTGCTTGTGCATGAAAATTGTATTGATCGAAACGGAGTCATGCTGAGTGTGACGGTGCACGTACATATTCTCAGCACTAGGGAGGCTGAGGCAGGGGATTGACATGAGTTCAAGAATAGCTTGGACAACATGGCAAGTACTGGGTCAGGCAGGTCTACATTGTCAAGATCCTGTCTAAAAAAAAGATAAAAGAAACCCGAAGGGAAAGAAGAAAAAGGAAAACGTAAAGAAAAGGGGAAGGAAGGGGGAAGGCGAAGAGAAGAGGAAGGGAAGGAAGGGAATACAGTCATCAAACAGTCGAATAAAATAGGAGTCAAGAAATTAAAAAGGGAAAGCAGTCGTGCACAGATACCTGTTATAAAAACCATTACCAACATCCGCTAAGGGCCCTTCTCTTCAGCCTGGTTTATGAGACAGGGTCTCCCCTACATAGCCCTGTCTGACCTCCAACTCGTTATTCTAATGCCTCAGCCTCCAGAGTACAGGGGTTACTGCACATATCCCAGTAACAAAAACTGCCAAGGGCTTCCCACACTGCCGTTTGCTTTGAAGACACAGACACCGGTGGCCCGACAGTCTCCGCTGCTGTCCTGCAGTCAACACCCTGTGGGCACCCTGCTGTGTTTCAAAACGTAACACAACGGACTCTTGCCTGTAGAAGTGTCCCCTGCCTCAACCACCTGGAGGCTGATGTGCCTGTTCACAGCGTGCACATCCCAGGCCATGCAGGATTCCCTGGCTCCCGAATAAACTCAGTCGTCCTTAGAGAGTCTCTCCTCACGCGGGAAGTTAGAGTAGGGCTGGGGAGGAGAGGAGCTAGGGCCTGCAGGTCCTCCACTCACCGCTCAGGCCCCGCAGCATCCGCCGCGTCGGCCACGAGGGGGCGCGCGTCACCCGGGCACCGCGCCTGGTCTCAACGCCCTCGCCAACCGCCTTGCGGCGCCAAAGCGCAGGGGAATTCGGCGGCGCGCTCTCTGCGAACCCGGAACCTGGGCGCGCGGGGTGGGGAATACGGTGGGGGGCGCGCCTGGGTCTCGCCACGCGCATGCGTCCTCCGGCCACTTCCGCTTCGCTGAGAGGTCTCCGCTCCCTGGGCCACCTCAGAACCCCGCGAACTCCTGTAAAGCCCAGAGACTTGAAGTCGAGCTAGGCCTCCGCATTTACCGCGTGGCAGAACTTAGAAGTCCAGATGAATACCTTCATACAGTATTTCAGTCTTTTAGAAGTAAAAAATTTAAGAAGCTGGGTCTGGAGAGACGGCTCAGCGGTTAAGAGCACTGGCTGCTCTTGCAGAGGATCCGGGTTCCAAGCCCAGCACCCACTTGGCAGCTAACAGCTATCTGTAACTCCAGTTCCAGGGGATCTGACGCCCTCTTCTGACCTCCGCACCACACGGGTGCACCCACCTATATGCAGGCATAACACTCATACACATAAAAATAATAATTTTTTTTTTTTAGAAATTAAGAAGCTATCTTAGTCTAAAGCAAAACGGGTAACTCATTATTCTGACTTTTGTTTAAATTTTTTTGCTATTTTGTTTATTGTGAATTTCCTTTCATTTTGTTTTTAATTTTATTGCATTCAAATGTTTTATTTTAATAGCTCTCTTGAGTATTGACTTTGTTGTGTGCTCAGTATGCCCCATAAGTTTCTTTGGGTCAATAAACTTGCCTCCACCTGGGGACAGCTCTGTCCTACTGTCAATTTGCCTTGTGTTGACCGCAGTCTGGCGAGGAGCACTTGGCCACCTCTTCCCAGGCCTGTTGGAGGTTAACAGAATTTCCACAGGCTCAGGCCCAGGGCCCTTGTCACTATAGGCTTGTCCTAAGACAGGGCCTCAGGGGAGGCCAGGGGAAAGACACACAGCAGCTTCCCCTACATTACTAGTGAGTTTATTAACGTGCTTTCCGTTAAGGCATGACTACATGAGCTCAGTATAATGAATTTAAAGCTGGACATGTTTGTAGAGTATTAGGAGTTCAAGGCCAGCCTCAGCTACATCGAGATTTTGAGGCCACCTTGACCTACATAAGACCCTACCTCAAAACAAGGGCCAGGAGAGATGGCTCAGTAGTTAAGGGCCCTTGCTGCTCTTCCAGGGGAGGAAAGTTTGGTTCCCAGCAGCAACATAGGGCAGCTTACAACTGCCTGTAACTTCCAGTTCCAGGGGGATACAACCTCCTCTTCTGACCTCCTTGGGCATGCACACATACACACAGACACAAACACACACACACACACATACACACAACACATACACATAAAATAATAAATTTTGCAGGGTGTAGTGGTGCACACCTTTAATCCCAGTACTCAGGAGGTGGATCTCTGTGAGATTGATGCCAACCTGGTCTACCCAGTGAGTTCCAGGCCAGCTGGGGCTACAGGGAGACCCTGTCTCAAAAAGACTAAAATAGGGGCTAGAGA